CTTTTCGTATTCGAAACTGTAGTGAATTTCATAAATGCATACTAGACGTAGCGATATCTTAGTAAGAAATGACCAAGGTAGCTCCTAAGACCTCCAGCACATCGCTGACGTGCGCCACCCTATAACAAACTCAAGAAAAACATCACTACGCATTATAGTATACTAGTGGTGTAAATCGCTGTACCTAGACGACAATAAACAACAAACACGTGCGTCTTATGCCCATGTTTGGTAAATATTTTCCACAGATCCACTTGATACCGTTTCTAATTAGTATACAGGACTCTCGGAAATATGTTTGTTCATCTGCGCATGAAGAATTTTTCCTTTGATTGCATCAGATAGTATGCTACAGTATGCTATTCGACGTGACATTGATAATTGATAAGACGTTTGAAAAACACTCGAGAAGACGTGTACACGCCGTGTTATCTACTAGATTAGAAAGGGATGGGAACAGTTGAAAATGGGCGAAATAGAGACGGCAGAAGACAGCCCCAACGTGATCGTGTTTAATAATAGACAACAATGGGCAAGGAAGATAATGTGAAGTGTTTATCATTTGGCTTATCTAGAAATAAATTTGAGAAGTACTTGAAATGAGGACGTGTACACGCCGTTTAAAAATTGCGAAATGGATTTTTCCGTCTTTGTGTACTTAAGATCGATTTTTGCAATACGTGTTTCAATGGTTTGATAAACAGGTTGTTTCGTGATCGCTACAAGTGCGAAAACGTTTTTTTTCGATAGTTTTCGCTAAGTTTCTAATTTGATTATTACAAGACAATGGTTGCAGGGTACTTGTAAACTTTAGGTGATAATTCAAATAAAAATTCTCGAGATAACGCTATTAAATATAGTATACAAGAAACACCACAGATAACTATAACGAATGTTTATTGCATACTTATTACAGATTTATCTGTTTATATAGTAGATCCTGGCATTAATCACTTCGATTCTTTTCTTAACATTGTTAAATATATTGATAGAATTTTCTAAACTGATTAGTAAATATATTTTTTGTTACCCTCTTTTTAGTGCAAGACTAAAAACTATATTTTCGCAAAATAAAATCATACGTAACTTTTCTGTAATTTTTTAAAAGATGATGGAAGATAAAGAAAAATAGAGTAAGCTTATACAATAAAACACTGACAAACAATAAAAATCTCTTTAAAGGAGTACACAGAGTGTTTCATAAGGACTTGGACATCCCTTTAAATCTGTTTTGTGAAGAATAATGTTTTTTTATATGTTTGCTGCTTTCTAGATGTACTTGCTAAACCAATTCCAATGCAGATGATTCTTTTAGAAGGAGATTGTTGCAGAATATATTTGCAGAGCAGTTTTAAATTTCTGAAGTTTCTGTTTGAATTTAAAATTATCAAATTAGAGTCTTAGTCCAGACGGTGTTTCAAAAAGCCATATTTGGGTGAATCGTATATCCACGGAGATTTTTGGCTTTTTGGCTTTCAAATATCACTGGAGATGAAAATTTTTCTATGCGCATGAAAAAAAAACGTGGGCTTAACTTTTGGCGGCACAATATGTTAAAAAAATATTCGAAAAATGTCATATTTTTCTTCCTATTTAATTATGTATCTTTTCAAGAGTTGATTTTAGGTGAAAATGGAAGAGGAACAAAATGTTTGTAATTAAATTTTTTACAAAACATGACTAGTTACAAATCGAATGAATCATGATTATTATGGTAAAAATCGAAAAAGTCGCAAAATGGGGTTAAAAAACAATACTTTTTTTGGGGTATTTAAATTGGGTACCTATAGGACCTTTATACTTGGCTCAAGAAAACTTTATATTATGTAGAATCATCACACCAAATTTCATCAAAATCGGTTTGATATAATTTGCATAATAATTTTGTAATCCATATTTTGAAAAAAAATTTGCAAATTTTCAAAATTTTGCACAGCAAAAACCAAGGCCCTTAGACACTTGAAAATTTAATCACATATAGAAGGGCTCTCAAGCTTTCAAACATTTTTCGAAAAATTCAAATCCGTCAATTAGGAAAGCTCTGGCGCTTGTTTAAACATTGATCGAATTTTTATACTTATAAATAATTACAATAACTTTGTGAATATTCAATCAAATCAAATTTTTTAATGCAGGTTTTAAACGTTCTTGGAAAGACGCTTCTTTAAAAAAAAAAACAGATCGATTGGTCAATTAGTTACGTAGTTATAGCCGATCAAAGTTAACCGTCATTTACACTAAATGTACTGGGCCATCCGGGCTAATTTTTCGAAAAATACCTTTGGTATTCCGAATAGGTACTTACCAGGTCTAAGATTACAATACTTTTCTTCATTGGCAACCTATTTTAAAACGTGTTTAAAGTTATTTATGCAAGCGAGAAATTCAAGAAAATCGTACGGGTGGTGGTGGTGGGGGAAGCAGAGAGCGCGGCCGCTTCGGCCTGCTCGAAATTGAATCGGCGAGTTCAAAACCGCGATGCGCTTAAAATTTTTTAATATCTCACCTTCTAGAGGTCCGATTTTGATGATTTTTTTTTAATTTTAGCGTATTTTCAAATGCCTATCGTTAATAATTATTGGTCTTTCAACAGTCTGGTAATTATTTATCTTTAAACTTCCTTTACTTATCAACTTTATTTTTCTATTGTGTCAAAGGTAAGTGCATAAACTTATATACTGTTTACCAAAGGTCAAAAACAAATTTATTTAAATATTCTGAAATTGTTTAAACAACAATTATATTCAAAATATGACGAAAATTAGTAATATAATGAGTTAATTTCTCATTTGCTTATATTTTAAACAATAAATAATATTTGAATTATACTTTAATCACAAAAAAATCTTTCTTTCATTTCAATATATTATTTCGTATTCGAAAAATACGACCTTGAAAAAAATAGGTACACCTATATATCATTAGGAAAAGAATCTCTAGAACCTGTATATGCAGTGTTATTTTTTTAAAACCTGACATAGTCCAACTATTTTATTTGAAGTAATAGACTAGTACTTCCAAATGCAAAGTTGTAGGAAATAACTTGATTAAGAAATATTTACAAATAATTTATTCCGGTGTTGCCATTTAAAAAAATATCGTTTTAGTAGCTACTGCATAAATGTAACCGCAAAAATGAAACACCTAGTATTAAATGTTTTAATTTGTTGGTATGCCATAATGTAGTGTTACCTATGCTCTTTACAGGTACCAAAAATCCACTTGATATCACGCTCCTGAAAAGAGTTACTAGCATCTCCGCGAACCCTTGTATCTGTCAAACTTTTTCTTTAAAAATTAATATCTCAAAATCTATAACTCCTTGGTATAATTTTTTAGAGGATTGTTCTTGTTTTTAGCGAGCCACACTGTATATATTTTTTTTTATATAAGTACAAAATTTACAAAAAAAAATAATATTTCTAAAATTAATCTAAATAGTGCTATAAAACAATTTTATTTTATTTTGTCATTTATTTGAAAATAATAAATTGCAACAGAAAATTAAAAATAGAGTAATCCAACTTACCAGTAATACCAAAATATGTTAAATTATATATAAAATAATAGAAATGCGACATTTTCAGTATATACTATTTTTTTTAATTAAATTGGTTTTCTATTACATAATTTAATATCACTTATCCAGTTTTAAAAACTAAGCTACTCTAACACTCTGCTTTGTTTGTTGTAACTTTGTATAATTTTGACATTTCTAGTTCACAATTTAGCCCAATTATTATAATTAAAACTAAACCCAAAGATAAGCTCGAGTGGATCGATCTAAATTAACGACAGAAAACGTGTTTTTAATCACGCTAATATTATTACGATGTTTGATTTTTTTATTTATAAACAGAACTAAAATAATATTTTTATAAACACACTCATATTTTTAAGATAAATTAAACTAGATATTCCTACATGTGCACAGAACTATACGCAAGCATTTGACATAAACAATAATGTAAACGGCTCTTGAAATAGTTTTGCATACACAATTTTCATTAAATTACTAAGCAAAATATTTTAGTTTTTTCAAGTTAGTTTAGATTAGGTGCAATTTCAATATACTGTCACTATCTCCCGCTTAACGAAACTACATTTTGAAATGACAAAATGTAATTTTTTCCACGTGTTTTGTGTTTTTGATATACAGGGTGCTCTCAAAAGAGGTATCGGTGAATCTACAGCTAAAAAGAACACGTTTTGCATAAAAATAACTTTAGTAAAATGTCGAGTTTCAAAAAAAAAAAAAAATTGAATAGCGACTGTAGTTTGTAAACCAAAAAAGGTATCCAAATTTTCTATTAATGCATGTGCAACTTCTCAACGATTTTTCGAAAATCTCTGCCCCTTGTAGGAGGTTGAAATGAGCATCCCCTAAGTTATTTTTAGCTACAACTTTTTTGTTTGACAAAACTTGAATATTCAAAAGTACGTATCGGATGGTTTATTTTAAAACTTTTATCTCTCTCACTTTTTTGCTTTAAAACTAACCGTTTAGTAACAAAAAAAAAAAATTCATAACAATTGCAACTACGAAATATTTAAGTAGGCGGCTGTCAAGTTAATTTCTGTCATTGCGATTTTTTAGGACATTACATTGTTGTTAGATAAACAATTGAAATTGATGCAGCTTATCAGGCTTGTCATTTCGGGTAGTTCGGAACCAAAATCCGTTGTTAAACCAAAGTTAAAAAAACACTGATTCACAATCGGTTCTTAGAAAATCCCGTCATTTGAGGAAAACGCTTTGCAATCTTTTTTATCGCCTTATCTGCGGATAAGAAAGTTGAATGGTGGTATAAATAAGGAAGAAAGGCGTTAGTGCCGACAATTAATAAGTGGGGACTGAAATTCTCCCTCCCACTTATTTCATAAAATTGTATATATTTTAAGCGCACATGAAACAAATATTTATCATCAGAGACAATTAATTATTAGAACTCGAAGCCTGCGACATCTGCCTAGGCTCACAATTTTGTTTATTTTTATAGTGTTTATTAATTGTAAAGAGTGCGTGGGAATCTTGGACGATCCAGGGGCGCCAACATGAATAACAAAGAAACCAGGATAGAGAAGAAGAAGCTGGTTGTCTGCAGCAGGAACTACCAGGACCGCGAAAAGGACCTGTTCGATACGCTCCATTCTAAGGGGATAAAGGAGGTAAGATTTTGTGAATGTGGGCCATCCAATGACCGATAAAGGCGACTGATTTATTATCTTTATTTTCAATTGAATGAGTTCGATAATTTATATTATTTTAACGATATGGATGTTATAATAATTTTAGACCGCAACAAATTGACGCTAATCTTTTTTAATTCAATGAATTCGATTATTTATGATAGTTTAGCATTTTGCGCTACTTCCATATTTTTTACTTACGTTTTATCGAATATTATTTGTTTGTATATTTATTTAATATACTCAAACTCAATGGAATACTTATTCCCGTTACATAGTCGAAAAAGAGTATGAAATAAATGTAGTATTATTTAAAAGTGTCGTACAGAGCGTTTTATAAGTCATAACTGCAAGTGGTTGAGAATTTTGGAAATTCGATAAATTTATTAAATTTTTCGTTGTTTTTAATAAAGAAAAGGGTATTTCACTTTATTACAAAAACAAGTAATTTTCATGTTTTGAAAACTTAAAATCACGAAGTTGGATAATTTAATATACACTATGTCCACTGTTAATATTAATATATGTATAGAGGTCGCGCATTGCGATTTTTTATTTTCCATTTCAATAACATGGGAAAAATTATTTTTCACTTTCAGAATTTTATATCTTAAAAACCAATTGACGGATTTAAATAACCGAAACATATTCTTGTAGGGAATTGAACGTTCTACAAAAAATGTACCTTATCATATTTTATAAACTTACTCATACAAAATTTATTCAAATTCAAAGTTAAATTTTTGTTATAATTACAGTTTTTTCTTCAGTTTCAAGTAAAATGATTAAAGTTATCATGAAATAGGTATTTAAAAAAACAGCATTTAAAAGTCAAAATTGATAAGTTTATCAAGTCAAGTCTTAATATTACTAAAAACACCACCATTTCTGGGAAGAATCAATTAAAATCCTTTTTATTATATTAAATGTTATTTGAAAATTTTTAAATTATTTCCTTACTAATGATAAATGACTTTTCGGTTGTGATAGTTTAAAATTTTCCACAAGCTTATTTGAAATAGAAAAAAAAATATTACTCGAAAATTTAGTTTCTTTAAAAAATGTTTTTAAAAATATTTTAGTTTTATCAGTGTAGTAGGGAAGAGGGGTGGTGGGTGTATTTATTTAAAACAACCTTAATATCTCACTGTGGAAGTACAATAATGATATATTTTCTTAATTTCTGTTCATTTTTACCAAGACTATTATTATTGTTATTTTATTTTATTTTTGTAAATTTGACTATTTCTTGACAAAATATATTTATTAAAACTGTGTGCGACTTTGACGCAATTTTTGTTTATACGGCCTTAAATTAAATGGAAAATTAAAAATGTAATATACAAGGTCTTCCATTTAAATAAATATATCGCCAAGACTGTAAATAACTCTAAAAAAAGAAATGAAGAAATTATTTGAAATAACTTTTATCTGAGAGATCAGAAATATAGACTAACACGTCTCAAAATTTTTTTAATAAATAGTTTTTATTGAAAAATATATAGGGATTTTGTAATAAAAATAATTTTCGTGCTTTGTCAGTGGCGTATCAATTTTTTTTTTTTTAATAAAGGCAACTACATCCTTTTTCTAGGACACTGATAAAACTGAAAAAATTAAAACATAATTAAACAATATTGTGCGTTTAAAAAGTATTTTAAATTATGTTTTTTTAGAAGAAATCACGTCATCGAAAATTAAGAGTTATTCAAATATGTACTTTGTCATTTACAATTTGTCATGTAGAGTAAGTAAGCATTATAGTAGACCCACTCAAAAACAAAGAAACTACTACCACAGTCATTTGACAATAGTAGAAGTGATGAAATAAATTTGATAATTTTAAGTTTTTTTTTGTAGTAAATATACACATATTATGTTTTGTTTAAATGGTAATAAAAGTCGAAATGAATGTCTTGATAGATTATTTCTTACTTGATTATTTTTTTGGGAATAAAATTTTCTTTGAAAATCTGGTTTCTACGAGCGCGTAAAATTTTTACGAAAATTTGCCATAATTTTGTGTCATGTATTTGGAAATTTACACTCAAAACGTGCATTATAAAGTTAAAACATTTTAAAAGAACAAATGGAAGTTCATTCGTATATGCAATTCCATGGTTATATGGCATTAAATTAATATCGAAAAAGAACTACATATATTGTTGCCCACTCAAAAATCAACATTTAATATTTTGTGACTTACCAATTTATTTGTCATCCTAAAAATAGTTCCAAAAATGTTATTGGAGTTACATAACCAGAAAATTATTCCCCCACTTTGGTGAATATAATAACATTTATTGGTGGTATTAAACAATTTATTGTCGCCTTGGTGTCGCGATTACGTTAACACGATGACATGTGCAACTTGATACTTTGTATAAATGATCGTTTTGTATATTAAATCTTCTTGTGTATTAAATCTTCTCGTATATTAAATCTTCTTGTATATTAAATCTTCTTGTATATTAAATCTTCTTGCACATTAAATCTTCTTGTATATTAAATCTTCATGTACTCACATTAAATATGCTTCTTGTATATTTAAATATAAAAAATCTTGAATATTTTCTTGGTATAAAGAATTTTCTTTTATATTTTCTAAAAAATCTTAATGCATATTTTCAAAATCTTCTTGTATACTCATAACTCATTAGAATTGTCTCGTAGGCCTCTAATATTGTTACAGACAAATGAACTTAGTTCTAGTTGCGGTGATTATATGTTGTTTAATTACAAACGTTCCCTTCATTATGAACTATTCTGGCAGATTTATGAAGATGAATATACCTGTATAATCCACTAGCTTAAGGATATTTGTTTGCTTTGTTCTATATTCTCATTGGACGTCGTTTAAAAAGTAAATCTCGTTGGGTTTCCTTGTCCTGTTCAGAAATGCAAACATTTAACACTTGAGTCGAATATTATTGATACAAATTTTAGGACCCAACAGAGTTATGAAAAGTGTTATTTTTCTCACTTGTGTCACTCCAATTACGTTAACTTATGCAGTGAGAGATTTATTGCCCGATAAAATCAATTGGCTTTCAAACATTTACGGTTTGCTTTAATTACCGAAATTTAATCAACTTTAACAGTCGGTTCTGCGCGATTGTAAATAAAAGAAGTTGTCTATAAAATTTATTGGTTGGTATTCTAAAATGAAATTACTGTGAACGAAACGTAATATTGATGAACGTTTTCTGAGGCTGAACAGAATAAATAGACGATAAAAATAATATAACTGTTAACATTTTTATAGATGCCACAGAAAATTATTTTTACAATATAGTTGTGGAGAGAGCTGTAGAAATATTATATTAAATATCTGAGAGTAAAAGTTAACCGTTTATCAATCCAATAATTCACCAATTCCTTTTTCGTACATGACTTTATCATACATGTTATGATTAAATTCACACAAGTAGACTGCTATTCAATCTCAATTAGCATTTATCAATATTTATTCGACTTCGATCTATATCTCTAGAATCTGAAATAAGCACATTAGATAGAAATTCATCGTTGTATATTTAAGATGAATATCAAGTAATACCTGAAAACTGTCTATCTAAATCTATTAAAGAAGATTCTGTTTCATTTTAAATAAATGTATGTCTTCTGAAATTGTCTTTCTTCTGTGCTATTGATTTAGTTTTTTGGGGCGCGATTTTATTCTTTCATTTACATTTTTTACAAAAAATTAAAGAGATCAAATATAAAGATACTTGAAAATTAATTTGATAATGTTAATTAATGTTAATTTCTGAGAAAAATTATATTTAATGTTTTATAGCAAGCAAGTTAAAATTTATCTACTGTGTGTTGTAAACAGGACAAATTTATATTTTATCTGTTTGGATGCATTAAAATTCAACAAATTATTTTTTAATTATGTTGATTAACTGTGAAATTATGTTAACAACTGTGTAATTTAGAAAACATAAAATTAATATACTGTGATGTCAACGGAAAACGTAGTCTCAAAACAAAAGAATTATTATTATTTTAACATTATTTATTATTTCTTAACATTCTTTATTTTATTTTATTTTGACAAACGTAACTGATTAGATTAGGAACAATTTTCCGGCAAATACCGTACAAGTCTTTAGAGCTTCAGAATTATGATATTTTTTCGTAGATGCACTTTTTTATAGCAAACGGTTGTTGTGATGAAGTCTCCCAAAAGCTTAATTTTTAACCGGTCTAATTATTATTATTGGTCTATTGTACATAGAAATAGTCTTAATAATATCATTAGTTGAGTTATTTGAGTTCTATAAGCAGAAAAGATAAATAAAATTATTTATAAACTTATACAGTTAGAGTAGAACTTGACTTCTTAAGCAGGTTTGAGAATACTGCTGATAATATTATATGTAAAAAATAAGGAATCCCTTGCTGAAAATGAAGGAGATTACTTTGGCTCCCCCTCCCTGTGGATATATAGTTAACAATTTAAATCTTATTTTTTTCCTTAAACATGATGAAAGTTGTACAAATAAAATAAAGTACAGTTTTTCCACTGATGCCAAAGGCATGATAATTTCTCTCTCTCTCTGCACTGTAAGAAAAATTGGACTTATTTTCACTTAATTTCACTCAATAATGTACCAATTTCTGTCCACCCGATTAAGTGAAATTTTGCTCTATTAGTATGAGTGCAATGAAAATTTTATAAGTGAAACTATTAGTTTTAGTTCTAATATTATCAAAAGGCCAACTCAAAGAACAGTAATTTTTCGAATGCCTTTATTGTTTGTTTAGATGTGTACCCACTCTCATGTTTCTAAATATGGTTTTGTCTATAACTGTCCAACTGCATCGACTAAGAAAACGTTCTGAAAATCCGAGTTTTTTATTGTCCTGAAGGTGTCACAATAAAGGTGACGAAACGCCGGTAAAGAAAAAATGGCAAATTGGAGTAGGAAACATATAAGCATGAATCTACACACAGTCTTTTATATGATGGC